TGTCGGGCCTTTTATAGCTTTGCTTAAATCCATGTTATTTGTACTCTGTTGAATATTTGTCCCATTGAAATTCATACCACATCTATACACAGAACGTCTAAATATGTGACAATTTTACGACGGACGTTCGCCATCGGAAAATCTGTGGATATACAGGGCTTACACAATATTTTGCTTATACTTCGTCTCAAATTTAGCCCTTCAATGTAAAATCTGAGTTTGCAAATTTTTGTTCTTCCCTCAGCCGGATTCGAACCCCAGCATCTGAGACATCGTGGCAACGTCGCCTCAACTGCCTCCGGCGTCCTAGACCACTCGACCAACTAGGCTATATATTAATATAGCTTTCGATTGTCAAGTAATGTCTTTCCTTGTCGGCTTTATCTAGGGTTGTAACGCAGTACATGATGCATACTGGCAAGTTGATGGTATACCTTGAAGATCACCTATTTTTTGTCTGTCGTAAGGATGATAATTTTACTTACCATGCCGTCACATCAAAGTTTTAATTTCATTATATACGTCTATATTATATAATATTATTTATATTAATAAAAGGTCGAAAACTACTTCTGTCTCTTTATTTGTTTTCTTCGGCCGTCTTGTCACCGCGGATTGGCGTCCTGCCTTTAGGTGTCAGACCACCAATTTACCCACTCCAATTTAGAACGTATGTAAAAGTAGCCCTTCTATGACAAAACATAGTGCTTTTGATGTCATTGTTTACTTGAACTAACCAACAAATTTGAAGAAATGAAACTGTTGGTGAAAGAGAAATATATTTGGACCATTTTGAGCCATGATGTTGCATTAAAAATTTCAGATTAATGCGCTCTATACTATACTTATTTACGATTTCCAGAAAATCAAGGGTTATTTTTAGTAGTAATTAACTTCGGAACGTTGGTATTTTACTATGTAGAAAGGTGATACATGTTCAATTCAGGATATACCTGGTTTCTATGAAGTTAAACTTAAGGTAAAATATTTAGAATGCTGTGAAAATTGAAAAATTTGGTTGAATAGATAGGGATTTTGAATTGGTGGTCTGACACCTTTACCAGCCACATCGACCCGGCATATATAAGAAAGTGAAATCTACACCCAACCTTCACCCCCTCTATGATAATGTATTATTCAACACTTGTCAAATGATATAGGCATAGATCTATAAATTATAAGACTGGCTGATTACACCAAATTAATATGTCGGATATCAGCAAAAATAGATATTTTAGAATTTCTACTTGTAATATTGCTATTGATTCTAAGACACTGGTACAAATAAGAAAACAAACGTACAACAAGTTGCTTCCTTTTATTTCTTTGATTTATACATTTTATAAAGCATTTTGAATTCGAGAATATACTAGCGCAAAGCTTCGATTCCTTTTTACATCGCGATGACCTTGAGGTCACTCCGATGTATTGCTATCGCCTAGATTTCCATTATGTAAATTAGTTTTGGGTTTGTAACCGATCTATAAACATGATAAATAGCGCACATAAACGAGTGCAAAATAACATTCCTTGTCATTTGATATAAATACATCTCTTCAATGAATACTGATAAAAATATTTTTGTTTACAACATAAATTAATAATGTGAAAATGTTTTGTAGTTAGATATATATATATAAGTAAAAAATCATTGATAATATCAATGCACACGTACCGAAAAATTGTGTTAAAGCATGCGGAAGAATATCTCAAAGAACGTTTTGCGACAGGACCGGTAACTCTGTAATTGTTTTTGCGGGAAAATATGAATGCCTACTCGTATCCAATCTTAGAAAAATCGAATTTTTACAGAAAAGTGTCCACCATGCACTTGCATTGCACTATTATTAGACTGACAGTAGAATAGAATGATATACAAACGGATGCAAATCATATATATATGTAACTGTTATTTTAATATAATATACAACAACAAATCAGTGTATACTGATTTGTATCACTACAATATAATAGTTATTACGGTGAAGTTGAATTTCCTGTCATTTATTCATCATACTCGCACGCACTTGTCTAGAAAAAAATATATCTCTGTACATTAACCTCAGTTTCAGGTAAAGAGATATGTTGTTTTTTTTCTGAGACAAGTGCTTTTGACCATCCTCAAGAACTTGTGGTCATCCGATGTTCAGTACTTCAGTACTTTGATTGGTATTTGTCAGCTCTTCAACGTTTGTATTAAGTTAAGTATAATGACTGACCAGTACAATAACTAGAAAGACTAGTAATTTTAACTGGAAAGACAAGCAAAGTTACAAATATTTTAGTTAGAATTTGTTGTACTAGGTAAGCTAATTATTAAAGTCTTCTCTTTGAAAGGGTTTATCTAGTCTACCTCCGGGTGCGGGATTTTCTCGCTGTATTGAAGACCCATTGGTGGCCTTCGGCTGTTTTCTGCTCTTTGGTCGGGTTGTTGTCTCTTTGACACATTCCCCATTTCCATTCTCAATTTTACTTTGCCATTTTGTGAAGTCCGATAAAAAGTCGAGCAATATATAAAAATGAAAGGATCTGTATATTTGAAACTACATTTTACAACAATCCACCATATTCGTAAACTGGAGACAAAGGGGCAAAATAATTAATAAATAACTAAAGAACAATATGCAAACATCATTATGAGAGGATTCGCTAGTGTAAATAAACGAGTGTTATTCTATCCTAATTTGTGATGCTAAATGTATCATTGAAAATTAAATATAGCTACATCGTAAATGAGGAATTCAAATAAATTTAATTCTAGTACATCTTTAAGGAATGAAGGATGTTCGCTAGTCTTGTTTTTGACTTTTTATCAGATATTCGGAATCCTCTGATTTTATCCATATAGTGCCTTCAAATCTTTTGCCCGCTAACCCCTACTTTTATTTTCATAATCTTAAACGCCATTTTTCAAAATCTTAAAAAATCGTTGTTATTTTTTTATAGTTTTTGATAGAAAAAAGGTGCCAATGTTAAATATATGGAAAGGCTAGAGAGAATCATTTCACGTCAATTTTGCAATGGCTTGCTTATATATCTCAAATACAAGGACATGCACCTTTCATTTTTTTTCTGCTTTTTTAAGATCCATTATTCATATACTATCAATTTATAACAAAAAAGCTTGTTATTTTGAAGCAGAGCAGCGAACATCCTTAAAAGGATTTACTAATGAAACAAAAATCCATTTATGGAATAGAGTTACAGTATGAAATATTAAAAAGCTTAAGTTAATTGATTATTGAAAAATTATTATGGCTTCATTGCACTTAAAATTACGATAAGCTGATACATCCAAAAACAGCAAATAATATTGTAATTCAGAATCATGCTGTAATATACAAAGTATCAATTATATATCACATTTCAATCAATTACAACCTTATCATCATAGATCGTATACGGGACTGCACTTTACTGTGCTGGTAGTAAACTATGGTAGTAGAATGGAATCCGTATACAAATTATTCATTCACTTAATATTCAGGTATAACAATTCACACACAAATACAAATGAACACAACCGAAATCACGTGTACTATACAGAGATGAGAGCAGGTCACGGAACCGGATATTCTGCAGACAACAACGTCTTACATTCCAAATTTATATTCAGTTAGACATGACATTGGTAGACACTTGGAGGAAAAGGGTCAATAAAGTATTGTAGAGAGAAAAGGAGAAATGACTGCAACAGTGTGGGACAACTTTACGTGAAATTCAAATGTGTTAAGTTGTTGGAATGTCAAAAGTTTTTTTTATTTTTTTTTTATTCAACAAAATATTGCACAATCGATGTAGCATATTTACTACACTATAGTCAAGCATTCTAGTGAAGGGCCCTGTTTGTTAATATTAGAAATCCAGGTAAACCTGTATTTCTGGAATGTCACAAATATGTAAAAAAAACACGAAAATATATGATAGTGTTTACGATGCTGTCCGCAATGTTCCGAAAGTCCCTTATTTTATAACCAGTAATAAAAAAAAAGATAGTATTCTATATGTTATTTGAGAATAATTTTCAATAATTGTCAGCATCAGTATGCAGCTAATCTTTAACTGAATTTGTTACAATAAAATATATGATTGCTGCCAAAAAATTGAAACTATCCAGTGGCGGATCCAGGTGGGGGGGGGGGGGGGGGGGGGGGGGGGAGGGGGAACCCCCCCTTTTTTTACGATCAATGCTTTTGAATGGGGACATATGGTGGGAACGCCTCTTTTAAAAATGGCTAGAATCGTCCCTGCTTTCAGTTATTCAACACCGCTAATCACCCAAATATTAGTGCTTTATATAGTCGACTAATATTTTAACAGATATAATGGTCAAATTGTCAAATTCAATGCAAATTCGTAGCCATTATAATATATGTATCTGAATATCAGAATAAACGACAGTTGTCAAATGCAAATAAACATGTCGAAACCATTAACTTCTATTTAATCACTTTTAATAGGTAATTAAAAATTTATATCTAATTCAATTATAACATGCCCGCTTATCAACGATTTTAATAGTTCGTTTGAAAAGTTCAATCGGTTGTCAGTTCTAAGAATGTCTATATATAATCTTATTAAATACTACAGATTCTAAACACTCGTAGCTTAAATATCGGAAATACTAGGAAATAGTTTTAAAGCTATTCCCGCCAAATTCTCGGGTTTTTTCCTTTTACTAACAGTTATCAACTTTTTACCGTCCTATGAAGTTTGTGAGTAAGATAAGTTGCAGTATTAAGCTTTTGAAATTTTTGTAATTCTGATATTATTTTGTGATATTTTCTTCTGAAACAGTAATTTTTGGTCAGTGTAAAAAAAAAAGAAGCGTAATCTCCCCCAAATAAAAACTTTTACCTTTAAGAAAAAAGATTACATCTCACTGTCCCAATATGAAAATTGTGTCCAAATAATGAAAGTAATAATGCAAATAAATTTAAAAAAATACATATAAAGAAACAAATGTAAAGAATTGCAATTTAAATGAAAATTTTCATTACCTTTATGGAGTCCAGTAAACCTATCTCGAAGAACTGTAAATTCGTAAATTGGTCCAAATTCTTCAAAAATAGGTCTTAAATCCTTATCATCTAAGTTTCTAGGAATTTGTCCCACAAATAATTTGACAGCGTCTTGCTCTTTAACAGGCGGAGAACAGTGTCCGTTAGAAATTATATGACGTTCATTTAAGCCATTCACCAAAGTTGACATACTGTAAAACTACGATGGAATGATCAAATGGGTAGAAAAAATACAATGTACAAAAACACAACAAAACTAATTAAAACACCTATAAACTACACCAACTAAACGAACGAGCACTACAAACGTTACAATCGGAATGTCTCGGACTTTATACAACAGTCAATGAAATTGACATTCAATTTGCATACAGCACTTACCCGCCATTTTCTAGACGTAATCGATTTCAATGCCTCCGACAATTTTGTTTGATCAATACTCCGCAGCTAACAGTCATTTAACACTGCTAAACTACACAGATATTACTGTTGCATAGAGTTTACCAATATTTAACAGAAATAATGGTAAAATCCGTTAAACCCAGGAACAATTGGCAGCATTATTGAATTATAGATAAGAACTGCCATTGAGCAAACAATTCCTACTGCCATACAGCAATTTACCTGTTCAACTGCACATGCCAATCAAACATACAAAAAAATTATGCTCAATAATTAGATAATTGAAGCTTAACTACTCTACTGACTATGAATGAATGCAATTTGATCTTTGAGAATTGGTTTGCTTACAGAACACCAGACCGATTAACGTATTATATTTGTCAAGCACTTGTTTCATCTCATGTCAAGAGGATGATGTTGAGGTTGTTAAGGACTCAAAAAACTACAAATTATAGATTTCTTCATATCGAAATTGTATGTGCTAAATATATTTCATATCAAGTTGTTTGAAAAAAAAATATTGACAGAAATTCAAAGCTAGCTTAATTGCATGTTTTGACTGTATAAAGATTACGCAGTGGAAAGTTAAAGATAACTATATATAAATTAAAAGACACTCATTAATAAATGATAACATTTTAAAATAAAAACTGAGAAGGCATAATTCAATAAGTAAGTACTTAATGAAACAAAACTTTGCCTATAATTGCTTACATCCACTTCGTTTAAACTTTGATGGATAATTGTTTCATTTGCAATATACCACATCTCCTTATATTGGTGCGCTCGACTCCAATCTTAATTGATTGGTATTGTCAGTTTTCGTACCGAAGTTCGGTGGGTCTCTCCGGGCACTCCGGCTTCCTCAACCCCCTAAAAACTGACCGCCACGAAATGACACAGTAGTGCTGAAAGTGGCGTTCAACACCAATCAATAAATCAATCTCCTTATATTTATATAAACACAATGTAGATCATCGATATAGTTTACTTGCTACATAACAAAACTTTAAAAAAAAATACAGTACAGTCTACAAGTATATCTGAAAAAAAAATTCTCTGGATTACCATTTCTTATCAATAAATTCTGTCACTCGTTTTATATATGTCTCAGAGTAAAAAGTTAACTTTGTGCAAAATATCTTTTGTTAGTTTTATCAAGTTCCTGGTCATGACATTTGCAGTTTGATACACTTTGGAATCACGTGATATGCGTACTCTCGTTCCGACTGTGTTATTAATTCTTTTCAATTTCAATATAAAAAGGATGTGGTATGATTGAGACATAGAAGACCAGAGGACTAGGATATAAGCAACTTCGTATAGCTGATTTACAAACCACGCCTCGTTTTGGGGGAAATAATTATATTCACAGATATTTAATTTGGTGTACCAGTAGGTTCCCAGATATGATCTCTATGTTTCATTTCAAAGAGATACAGTTTGGAAAGTTTTACCAGATATTCAATTTTTGTACTGTCTGTCTTTTACCAAACGTTCGCACTGCTTTATCATTCTTACCAAATAAAATGTTCAAACAAAAGTATTGTAATCTATGTTTTTATTCAGAGTCTGTACAACAGCACGTAAATATTCGTATGCCTATTACGCAAGAAAATCATATCGGAAAGTATGAGACAGGCATTATTTCGACCTTAATTAAGTGTGAATATCTTTAATGAACATCAAAAATGATTCAGCCTGCTTTAATAAAGCTCTTATCTGAGGGGTTTCGGCTGCGAGTGTTACCGAGCACGCTACTTATCGGACATCTGTGTTGGAGTGTTTGAGAGAAAAAAATAGCATTTTGTTTTTGACTTAACTAACATCAGGTGATAACTATTATGTAGTAATTAATATTACTTTGCACAATAATTCAATGATCGCCATTTTTATGTGTACGAAACTCTGCATGAGACGTAGGTTTCCTATTCTGTTATAGCTTTCTATACGGTACGGATTTTGTTAATTGTTCTAGGTCATACGGTGACCTTTATTTGTTCACACCCTTGACTCAGTGGTGTAGCTTAACCCTTGTTTCTAGTGAGACAACGGAAGTAAAGGCCTGGGGCGAAGAGCGTGTCAAACACGAGTTTCAGCATTTATAGATGCAAAAGATGATTTCTTATGGTGCTTAACGTTCAGTGGCAAATGTTTCATACATTTTCAGGACTAGAACAAATTAACAATAATTCGAGTAGGTTCTGATAAATGGTGGAGTAGGATGTAGTGGGCGGAAAAATACGGACTACAACTGAAAAACAGATATTTTGGATAGAAGAGAAATATTGCCCTGCAAAATTCTACCTACTGACGTCTTAATGAGCTGTTGTCAGGGTTCTTTAAAGTACAGAAAACGAGACACACTCCCTACTCCTATTAAATTCCTTTCTGACAAGAAATTTGTGTGCATATTTATGAGTACAAAAAAGTCATGTCCGTCTTAAGTTTAGGTGATGAATTACTTAGTGCGGTGACGGAATGAGAAAAAGTCGATTATTAAAAGAGTTTGATTTCACTTCATATTACACGGCTAAAAATTTGCACAGTGCTAGAAAAATGATTAACTTGAATTTAAGTTTAGTCGTCAAAAAGTCGTATGTTTTTTTAATTTTTTTTATTATAGTGTTTAGCTAGTTTTTACTAAAAATGCAGATCTAGAATGGCATGAAGTCAAGTTGTTTTTCAAAGGCTGCACTCAAATATATTTCTTTTCTTATTTTATTCAATTATCACACAAAATGCTTTATTAATTTAGTCCGGAGCACCTGAGATCACCGGAGCACCTGAGACCACCCCCAGTTTTTGGTGCGGTTCGTGTTGCTCAGTCTTTAGTTTTCTATATTGTGCTATGTTGACACAGTACCGATATCATGAATAGGGGTGTGCTCAACACATAAAACTGCTAAAAAAGAGACGGCAAATACCAAAGGGATATTCAAAGATAATCTCACAAAGCCATGGCACAAGTCGAAGAACGACGTAAAGATAAATAAAATTCTACAAAACACATTTCATAGAAAACTAAAGACTGATCAACAAGACACATAAAATTTTTACAAAACACTACATAGAATAACGAAAAACCCGACATAATATTGGTCTGTGTATACTTCGAAATAATATTACGTTGCAATAATTTATTTAACTTTTATTTATCGATCTCTTTCTCAAATCGGATATATAAAAAACTTATTAAAGATATCAGGGTTGTAACTATTATATCCTAATAAAATAAAAGAATTAATCTAACAACCAACATTACAAAATAAATTTAGATAACTTAAAGTCAGGTAAATAAAATTAGTCACGATCTTTATAGCGACATCACTTTTTTGTGAGCACACCTATAAAACTGTTTATATAAATTTATAAATAAAAGACGACAAACAGTTTGAACAGCTAATCAGTAAATACATATTTGACATGATAAAGACCTTGTCCCGTATGCATAAAGCTAATTAAGTTAAGATATCAAATCGTAATACTAATTTATCGTAGGACATGTAGAAATATCGGTCCGTTCGGAACAAATGTTTAACTTAAATAGCTTTATGCATACGGGCCCTTGTTTTCAGACTAAATTTAGAGTAAGTTATATTTATGTTTTATAATCTTTAAGGTAGTATGGGTGTCTTTCGCCATCTTGGATTGTAAATAACAGAGAACTCAGGTCCAGATTTTCAATTAAATTAGCAAAATTTGATGAGGAATGCAGATAACTAATGTGAATTTTCATTTAAAAGAATAAATTTATAAGATTTCAACTTATAAATATATTTTTTTTTACAAGCGTACATTATTTTTGCTTGATTTTTGATATTTTTAAATTGGCATTTTAAGGGGAGGTTACTCTGAAATATTGTTTTTTTCTGAAGGAATTTACATGAAATTTTGCTATTTTTATATTTTAGCCAGAAAAAAACGTACGGTGACCCTATCTTTTATTTTGATATTCTGAAAGCATTTTCTAAAAGCTATCTTCTCGTATTCTATTTTACAGTTGTATCATTTAGTTTAGCTTCTAATCACATAATGATGTTTTTTCCTGTATAATCCATACAAAATGCGTCATTTTGTCACAACCTGTAGCTTGAGAAAATGCTCGGTGACCTATCATTTTTATTACATTTTTGAACATATCACAAAATATGCTAATTTTTGGCAAAGTATGAACAAATTCTATCATTTTTAATTTATATTCCCATACCACCTTATATGGTACATGTATGTTGCATACACAGTGTTTAATGCGATCAGGGGCTTTTATTATGATGATTGCAATCCTGTGGCATATGGATATATAGAATAAATACACCAAGATGATCATGTCGTTAAATGAAATTTGATAATAAAATTGATAAAGGAAACGGGGAATGCGTCAAAGAGACAGCAACCCGACCAAAATAAATAATGAAAAAAAAAACCAGCACAAGTACTCTGCATTTATCATGCTTTTCAATAACTTATGATCAAATCGCTGAAAGACCTCCTTCTAAATTAACGAAAAATATCAATCTTCATTGGCAATAATATCTTGGTGTTCTTTAGATACACCCATTCGGGCTAACGCTCTCAAGGTGTATCTATTATTTATATAGGACTAATAGTTTAACTTAACAATGTCGTAGTAATATCCACCCTCAAAATCGTCTGTACACACATAATTGATTTTTAATTCGTCTCTCAAGAGACGATCTTACCAAGTCAGGAATATGGCAGTTGTTATCAAATAGTCTGTTTCTATGTATGTTGGCGTTTGTTTTTTGCAGCAGTTCAGTGTTTCTGTTGTTCCGTTGTTTTCCTCTTATAGTTGATGTGTTTCCTTCGGTTTTAGTTTGAAACCCGGATTTGTTTTCTCTTAATCGATTTATGACTTCTGAACAGCGGTATACTACTGTTGC